TCTCAAAAAGACAAAAAAAAAAAAAAAAAAAAAAAAAGAAGAAGAAGAAAGAAATAGACATGCCTATTAAAGTACTATTGCCAGAATTTGAAGCCAGAGTTAAGTGCATAATGAAAAGATGTTAATTACATGTATTCATTACAATACCATTTAAAGTGCAACACACACACACACACACACTTCTCACTGACCCTTTTAATCTTTTTTTTCAGTCTTTTTGAGACACAGTTTCCCTATAGCCCCAGGCTGGCCTGAAACTCACTTTGTAGACCAGGCTGGCCACAAACTCACAGAGATCCTCCTGTCTCTGCCTCCCACGTGCTGGGATCAAAGGCGTGACCACACCCGGCGACTCTCTTAATCTTCATAAAGAGAATTAGCATTATCTCATTTTAGAGACAATAAAACTAAGACATTATGAGAAAAAGAAATTAATGTTATTGGTTAATTATGACAACTGAGATTCCAGGACTCCAAATTTTTAAAAACAACAATAAGAGCAGTTAGGAGTAAAATAACAGCAACTGATACAGCTACAACCTATAATCTTAAATAAATACAACCTAGGGGTTGGAAAGATGGCTCAGTGGTTAAGAGCACTTACTGCTCTTGCAAAGGACCTGGTTCAGTTCCTGGCAACCACATGATGGCTCATATCAGCCTGTAACTGCAGTTCCAGGGAATCTGATGCCCTCTTCTGGCTACTATAAGTTTACACACACACACACACACACACACACACACACACAATGCACATGCATACACTCAAGCACATACATGTAAAATAAAACAAATATTTAAAATAAATGTAACCAAGCTTAAGAATATAAGGCAAGTATTTAGATCCAATGAAGGCCCTGGAACAAAGTTTGTACTGGGCCAGTACATCAGAAATTACCTAAGCAACTTTCCCAACTATAAGACATACCCTGACCCCACAGAGATCTGGAGAGAAGTATAACTCTTGAAGAGTAAAGCCCAGACACAGGTTTCTCAAAAAGCCTTCCAAGTGAGTCTAACACACTTAGGAGACCCACTGCCCTAAAAAGCATGAAGATGTGAAAACAATATCACCTACTCAGGAAGCAATCTAAGGTTCAGATCGAAGTAGGGACAGGCTCACAGATGAAGAAGTCAAAACAATTCTAGCTAGCCTTTTTCTCTCCCAGTCAAAAAAAATCTTATTCAAATGCCACCAAAGGAAGAAAACATTCCAAAGATATCCTTCAATTTCTCTCATTTAAAAAAATTAAATCATTTACATAATAATAATATGAACCATTATCAGTACCCTACTACTTGCAACACAGCACACAAATGACTGTCCCACCAATGTGTTTAGACGCCACAGTACAGACTAGCTGATGAGAGTGCTTCTCCCTCGTGGAAGTCCTGGGTAGCAGACTTTGCCTGGACCCAAAGAAGCAAATAGTTAATAAACACACAGTCCCAAATATCATCTCTACTCATTTTGGAGAAAAAGTAAGAGCTATTCTTTTTTCCTTCAAACAAGTCTATCAAAGCCTAATTCAAGTCAGGTCTGGTGGCTCACACCTGAAATTCCAGTACTCAGGAGACGGAGGCAAAAGAATCAGAAATTCAAGATCATCATACCTATTTAGCTAGCCTGGGCTATATAAGACAAGTCTCAACAAAAACAACAACAATAATTTCAATTCAGTTCAACCACGTTACTTTCCATTGGACCTGAAAAGTCCAAGTAACAGAATTTTCAGGTTAAGTATTCAGCTGATGTACATACCAAAAGGTGAGTGAAAGAGATGTAAGTACTTTGCAGTAAGATTTCACTCCCACAGGGGTAGGGAGGGAAAAACTAAGACTTGAAAAGTTTTTTACCTGCTAGGGTAAAAATCAATGTTTAAAATCCATCCTAGATTAAAAATACATGGCAGGGCCAAATCACATCTGTTAAGATTGCCAGACTTAAAAGTACAGAAGGCCCAGTTAAATATAAACTTCAAGTAAACCTTTTTTTTTTTTTTTGGTATAGCCTTAGCCTCGTAAATTTTGGGAGAGAGTTGAAACAAAAGAAAATTCTAAGTATCTCCAATCGTATTTGAGGAAGATACTACACACACCTCACGTTCCTAATTGTAATCGGTACCAGTCATCTGTTCACTTACTCTATTATACATCGCTCTGATTTTTTTATAGCTTATCTGTTTTTCACATTTCATTTCTGAAACAACATTCATATTTGTGAGCAGTCTTACTTCAAAAAGGAAGTCATGTGCTCTAGCCATCCACTCCTAACTTCCAGCTCTATTATTAAAGTAGAAGCTGCCCCGCAGCTTACGTTCACTTTTAAGAAAAAAAAAGTTAGCTTGAAATTCACACTACAAAAGTTGGTGAGTAGTATGATTTACAAAAATACTTTCTTCCTGTACTTCCTGTTATGTGACACAGCAGAATCATACTAAAGAAAAAAGTGACTAAAAATAAATTCCTTAAATTTTAAAACATATTTCACAGCAACAGTACTAATCATCAATAACCTCAGCTATGTGCTGCACAAGGCCACTGCGCTCTTTTTTTCCATTTTGCTCTTTTTATGGAAATAATGAGAAGTTTTAAGTTTGGACATAAAACATCTAACTTTCCTTACACTGAATAGAATAGAATCATGAATATACAAGAGTAACTGTCAAGAGTGACAAGAAATGACTGCCTAACTATGCAGACCTTTGGTGGGTTTGGGAACATTTTTCTTCATTTTGTCCATTACAACTAATCATGTCAAAAGGCTACAATCAAAGTACAGTATTTTTAAAAAGGCAATGAAAACCAGCTTAATAGCTGAGCTAAAAAATAATAATTTGCTAATGTACCTAAACAAAATTTAGAATCATATTCAATCCTGTCTACTCATGGCACTTATATAATTCTACTCGAGAGATTATGATCTATGTTACTTCTTTTAAAGTATAGGCACCACCTATTCAATTACACATACCTATTTACATATGACATCCGGTGAGAAACGAGCAAATGGTCTTAAATGCTTGGTAATCAATAAAAGACTTTTCAAGGTTCCAATACCTGATTACAGGCATAATTTAGACGATAAACGAAGCAACTCTGTCATTATTAAATTACTATTTCAAACAGAATGGGAATTTTTATTTCATAATCTTTTTCTTTCTATGGTCTTTATAACTGATTAGGGAAAATGTTCCCAGACACCTTTAAACATATTTTTCCCTAAAAGTTTCAAATAACTGAATTACAATTTAAAACAACTTATATTTTAAATAGTCCCATTTAATGCAACCCTTGAAAAAAGACCAAAAAGCAAAAAGATAATCACACGACAACTTCTGGTTCGTTTTTTGCTTCTGGCAATACTAGAGACTGAACCCAGGGCCACACACACCCTGGCCAAGTGCTTTCTCAGTGGTAATGTCTTCTGTCTTTAAACCTGCCATTCCTTTAAAGTTTTCCCCATTAATTTAGGGCATCGCCTCTTTCTTATTATGACACAAAATGTAGGTCATTAAACAACTCTGAATTGTACCACGTTTTAAAATCTTATCAGTCTCAACACTACTCTGTAAAAGCGATTTTTTTTTAGCTGGGCATGGTGGTACAGGCCTTTAGTCCCAGCACTCAGGGAGGCAGAGGCAGGCGGATCTCTGTGAGTTCAGGGCCAGCCTGGTCTCCATAGTGAGTTCCAGGACAGCTGGGGCTACAGGGAGACCTTGTCTCAAAAAGACCAAAAAAAAAAAAGTGATTTTTTTTTCTCTTGAAAAATTCTATGGAATGAAAATTAATGCACTGTATTAATAAAATTCAGGTAAGTAGCCACGGGAAGATCTTTTTTTTCACTTCCAAAGCTTACCATTCTCTAGAACTTTTCAACATGATCTGTGTGCGATTAGTCATGAATGAATCAAATATTTGAAGCCGTCTTTATACTTTTCAACTGAACATGATTTGAATTTATGAATTTACAAGATTTTCTGAAAGTCGTGGGTCATTTAAGTGGGTAAAGAGAAAGTTGAAATGGTTTAAACTACACTTGTATTCTCATGGAAACCACAGACAAACTGAAATCAAGGGTCATGTGAAACACCCCGGTTTCCTTTAGGACGGCAGCCTAGACACGGCATGCTCGACCTTAAGGAGGTTCACAATCGCCTTCCACTTCCTCTTCTGCATCCATCAGAGGGTCGAGTAGACAGGGGTCAAGCACGGCTTGGTCAAGGCCCCTCTCGGCATCCCACCGGGACCTGGGGTGTCCTTTTAGCCCTCACCACCGTGGTTCCTGCTCCGAAAGCGCCCCCACCTTGCTGCGGAAAGCCGACTAGACCGCCCCGCAGCTGGGCTGTCACCCCTCCCCGCAGCCGGGAACAGCTCCTTATCCACTTGCTTCTGAGCAAAGGAGGCGATCCACTCAGGGCGTGTGAACACCCACGACTTGGAGCTCGCGGCGTGGAGTCCCACGGAACACTCATCTTGCCCTCCTGCTGTTCAACAAGCAGGGGGTGCCGGGGTCTACACCGCCCACGGAAGTCACCCTTCAGCTCGGTTTATGGGGCTCCACAGTGTTTCCACTTACAACGCTGTGCAGAACCAGGCCAGGAGCGATCGCGGAGCCGCCTCACCATTAAAAAAAGAAATCTCGCCCTAGGGCTGAAGTTTCCTCATTTGCGTTCGAGACACGGTTTAAGACCTGCGCGTTCTCATTTAGATGGATCCTGTAACCCCAAGCCCTTCCTCACCGGATGGCTCCCCCAACCCCAAGCCCGGCGTCGGGGACGGCCGCGGCCCCAGCTGCTACGGAGATCCGGGTGCAGAGCGCCGCTTTGGTTTCGCACGCCGCCCTCCGGCAGGTGTGGAGGGGGCGAGCTACCCAGCAAGGCTGAAGGGCAGAGCGCCGCACACCGGAGCCCGGCCTCCGGCAGGTGTGAAAAACAAGAGCTGCCCCGCAAGGCTGAAGAGCAGAGCGCCGCACATCCCGCGCAGTCCTCGGGGCTCACCTGAGGCCATGGCTCGATGGCTCGGCTCTCCGCGCCGCGGCTTCCAGCGTCGGCCGCTCAGGCAAGCAGCAAGTCAGGCAGCCAGCCCGTCCGCACGCGGAGCAGCCTCTGCCGCCGCGACCCCAGCGCCCAGACCTTCCCCGGGCCTCCTCCTTTTTCCCGGCCTCTTCGGGCTTTGCGGCTCACACCTTCCCACCCCTGAAGGCTGGAGCTCGGGTCACTAGCGTCCCAGTGTCGCCCCGCCAGGATGCCGCAGCAGGGGTAGGGGGCGGGCCAGACCGCCCGGAGCAACGGGGCTTTCCCACCGCTGACGTAGCCCTCGCCTCCGCCCACTCGGGGAGGGAGGGGCGGAGCTTCGGGACAGGCGCGCGCCCGCAGCTCGCTCGCCCCTGCCCCGCGCGCGCGCTCCCACGAGGCCGGCTGACGGGAGAGGGGCGGGGTGCCGGACGCCTGTGCGCGTGAGAGGACGGCGGCTCCGGCGAAATCCCCCTCCTCCGGTGTCCTTCCGAGCGTGGCTTAAAGTTCAGGAGGCGAAGGGCGGGGTCGGTGACGTGGAGAGGGCCGGCCGCCCGAGCGCACCCGGAGGCGGGAGGAGGTGCCGCCGGCCGGCGGGAGGGACCGCGGCCCGGGGTTTTCGAGCGGTGGTTCCCCCTCTTCCCGATTTCGCACATGCAAATCTCCGCCCCCGCGCCTGCGCGCGCGGCCCCGCGGGCGTCCTGGAGGGCTGCAGGGAAGTGCGGAAGCGCGCGGGCTAGGGCTGGAACGCGGATTTGCATACGGCGACCCCCGCAGGCTGACTTTCCTCCCTCTGGCTGCCTTGTGTCCACTCGGTTAACTACGTATTTTACCTACCGGGACGCCTTAACTTCATTATTCTATGTATGTGAACATGAAGTCCAGAGATTTGACCGAGGTGCCCGCGGGCAGAGGGAATAAAACAAACTTTTAGGGCATTGAAAGGTCTAGCCTGCATATCTTCGTTTCCTTCTCTGGTTAATACGCACTTGTTTCTTGGGCTATGATTTAACTGGGAGAAGTAACTAGTTTGCCTACACTTTAAGGTTGTCCAGCGGAGAATGGAGGCGCACGCTCTTGCGGACTGTCTCAAATTGAAGTCCATCCCAAAACAGTGTGGGAAGCAGTCTCAACAGACTACAACAAAAATAACCTAGGGTTATATGGGCCCTAGCTCCATGCGTTCCCCAGTCACTAGCTGACTAAAACAAGTATGGAGGGGAAATAATACCTGGCATGGCCAACGAGATGGCTTGGGGGTGGGGGAGGAGGGGTGAGGGGATGGTAAAGGCGTTTGCCACCAAGCTTAGCAACCCGAGTTCGAGTTCGATAGCCAGAATGGAACCCACAGTGGAAGGAGAGAACTGGCCAAACAAGTGCCCCCAAAGTGCTGTCACACTCCTGAGGAAATAGTAAAAATCTATCAATCCAAAACTGTCTCCACGAAAGATATAACAGCTGTGTTCTTGGGGTAAACACGTCATAAGAACTGCATTAATTAGCTGAGTGAATTATGTCCAGCATCCCAGAGTCCAAGACTGTTGGAGCATAACTTCGAGGCTACGATGAGCCACAAACCACGCCTGCATACACACACTTAACCCCTTAAAGCAGCCAGGTTCATAGAATCAATTTTCTACTTGTCTCTAGCCAAAGGAAAAATTAATGGGAAACTACATCTTTGAGCCAAGAGCCAAGACTTAAATTCCCACACTGATTTTTAGGGCTTGTGCTGGGGAGAAAAGGTATTATTCTACAGCCAATAGGTGGCTTGTTTTTACAGAGACTAGCATATGGTATTTTCCCCTCTGTGATGGCACATGGCTGTAATCCTAGCACTTGGGAGGTAGCGATCAGTAGTATCAAGAGTTCAGTGCCGGCTGGAGAGATGGCTCAGGGGTTAGGAACACTGATTATTACAGAAGACCCAGGTTCAAATCCAGCACCCACATGGCAGCTAACTGTCGGTAATTCCAGTCCCAGGGGATCCGATGGCCTCTTCTGTCCTCCTCTGGCATTGCACGACATAGGTGCACTTGCCTACCTGCAGGCAATACTCGCATACACATAAAATAAAAATAAGTTAAAAAAAAGCTTCAGTGCCAGCATGGGCTATGTGAGATCCTGTCCTCAAAAACCAACAAATGCATACATGTTTTGTTACTTTATTTGTGTAAAGAAAGTTGTGGGAGTAATAGAAATTAACCGAGGTCTCTAGGGGGTACTCTGTTGCGTGACATTTGAGCCAAGTTCACTTACCTGAGCTGAATGATGAGAAAGAGTCATCCAAGGAAGGTTCAGGGAAAGAACATTCCAGTCAGAGGAATGGCAAGCACCCATTCCTTAAGATAGGAAAGAGTTTATTTGGGGAACCAGTAGGTCAGTAGGGCTAGAGTGAATTTAATGAGGTTGAAGAAGTAAACTTTGTAGGGCTTTGTAGGCCAGCATATGGATGATGGATTGGGATTGCTGTTGGGAAATTTTAAGCATGTAATGGATGCAGTAGTACATTTGGAGATGTTTACTCTAGCTGATATGTTAAAATGTTAGCATATGCAGTGAAGGGCAAAGGTAAAGACAGCTGTTAGGCTGCTACAATGATTGAAATGAGAAGGGTGGTTTGGACTAGTGTTTTCCTGGAGATGGTAAAAGGTCAGATTCTGGGAGACATTTTGGTGACAAGGCTGACTGGGAAAATGGAAAGAATAGAATTTTATAATGAACTTGATTTTTACAAAATGGAGGTCATTAAACTAGGTGTAGTGGCATATATCTGTAACCTCAGGACTGGGCAGGCTAAAACAGGACATCTGAAGTTCAAGACTAGCCTAGGCTACATAGGGAGACCCTGTCTCAAAAAATAAAAAAATGAAGGTCATTAATGACTTGATAAAAAAAACATGTTGTTAAAAGGTGATAATAAAACTGAATTGGAGCAGATTTAGGAGAGACTGATGGGCATTATGGGTATAAACTTTTGGAAGAATGTTAAAAGAAACAGAAACAGAGTACTACCTGGGGCAGGGTATGGATTTATATTATGTTCAGGGCTATAACTAACCCTTAGCCTCAACAGGTTAGCACAGAGTTCCTTGTGAATTAGCTGGCTCTCCTCCAGGAGTGACCCAGGTGCCTTCCATATTGTAGTAGCAATATCTGGCTTACTCTATGTTATATGGAATATCAGCTTTCAGGCTATGCCCAGCCTTGAATTGTTTCATTTTACAAAGCAACAACCTTGACCTGAGTTACTCTGTTTTGAGTATAAGTGCCAAGGAAAAATGATTTTTTTTTGTACAAGTGTTTTGATTGCCATATGTATACTGGTAGGTGTGTAGTCTAGCCTGCGAAGGCTGGAAGGGGGCAACAGAGCCACAATGTGGGTGCTGAGAATTGAACCCAGATCCTCTGGAAGGAATAGTAAGGATTTGTAACCCCTGAGCCACCTCTCCAGCCCCCTTAAAATATTTTTTAAATAAAAATATTCCATTAATTTATTGCACTCCTGGAAATTCAGTGTGTATTAAACCTACCTACAAAAAATTTGCAGTTGTGTTTACATGTAAATGAGAGTTGTGTCCCAGGCTTGTATTTATTATTAAAAGTCTTTCCATCTACATGAATGGGAATGGTGAGATACTAGAACGTCATGAGGATTAGGACGGTTCCTACTGTGCTGGACCCCTTGCCGAGCATCTAGCAGCTTCCCCACCCAAGCTGTAAACGATAACCTCAAATCATTGTGATAACCAACCGCTTGGTCACAGATTTCCTGAACATTCGCAATGGTTTGAAACTGGTTTGTGAATTTTAATTTTAAGACTCACTTAACTGAGCAATTGAGCACATTGGCTGCTCTTGCAGAGGACCCACGTTCAGTTCCTAGCACCCACATGGTGGCTAATAACCATCCTTAACTCCAGTTCCAGGGGATATGATGCCCTTTTCTGATCTCCACAGGCATTGCATGACACAGGTGTACTTATATACATGCAGGCAATACACGTATACATGTTTTTTTGTTTTGTTTTTTGTCTTTTTGAGACAGGGTCTCCCTGTAGCCCCAACAGCTGTCCTGGAACTCACTATGTAGACCAGGCTGGCCTCAAACTCACAAAGATCCTCCTGCCTCTGACTCCCAAGTGCTGGGATTAAAGGCATGCGCCACCACGCCCGGCTCACGTACATGTTTTTTTTTTTTTTTTTTAATCTCTTTGGGAAGTTAGGAGAGGTGCAGATTCTTTGGGCTCACTCTCAGAAATTCTGAATTAGTAGTTGGGGAATGGCCCTAGAGTGTGCTTTGTCTTGACTTCTTAGGAGTTGTGTCCTTCAAAACGAACCTTGAAAAACTTTGCTTTAAACTAAAGGCAAGCATGATATTCAGTTTACCACACTATAAAATCTCAACAAAGACCAACTTCTAAGAGCCTTTATATTTAGAGATACTATTTAGTGTTTATATTTTGAAGGCATGAAAAAATTGCAGTAGCAGTATTGGCAATAAATGTTACTGCCTCAGTGTATTCTAAAGAAAAGCAGGTATTCTATTAGTAGTAAAAACTGTAACAATACTGTTGATAATTTTTACCACTATGGAACTCACATAAAATTTAAAACACAGCATGTAATCAGGGTTCTGAGGGATAAAAGGAGAGGGTCAGGTCAGGTAAGGTTAGGGAAAGTACTTAGATGTAATTGGGGAGCACCAGGTTAATTGTTGCCTATCAAAGAGTCCAAATCAATAAAAGAATGGAGAGGAAATGGCGGGCCACACTTCCTGACACCTAACCTAGATAACATCTCTTTTCCATTATTAGTTGAGAACCAAGGGCTGCTGAGTGATCAGCCAGTTTGTTGTCATTGTTGTTTTGTTTGTTTTAGCAGAATATATAGTTCACCCTCTAGGGTGAGGTTCAAGTTGTTTCTGAAGAAGACTGCTTGGTGAATAGTGAATAAGAAGTCAGGCAAAGTAAGAGTCTTTAATATTTGATGAAGGTTGTGAAAAAAAAGTCCGTTGAGCTATCCCTGTCCTATATTCTGACTTTGCAAACAGACCTGGATTTGAATCACTGCTGGGCTGAGATTATTAACTGTGGGTGATTAGGCAGGTCTCTGTTCCT